TCTTTATTTACCTCAATGCCCTCAATTTGGATGTTAACTCTTTCTCCTCCTTTGACTGTGAACTCTGATGCAGGTTTAGGTGGGCCGTTGAGTAAATCGTTGGGTCGACTCAGTCCACCGTACTGAACCGGGACGTGCTCCGGGCTAATGAATCTGATTTAAAGGAAAAATGAACAATTGAAAGAAAGCTCCAGAATTTGAGCTTTTGGACATAATAATAATAATAATAAATAATATTAAAGCAGGGCACAGGCACAGGCACAGGCACTTACTTGTACAGTGTCTCGGCTACATTTCCTTCCTTAGATATCACAAACTTACTCTTTGTCCTCTGAGTTAGAAATGGACTGAACATCGAATACACCAAGCTAAAGTACCACGGCACGTTTATAAAGATCTGCAATTAATAATCAATAACACATTATATATACTTAAAAATTAATCAGCAAATTAAAGGTTAACTAACTCATCAAGATTCAACCTTTTTAGCAACCATCTCAGGATAATTGTCCTGAAACAGAGCAAGAATCTGGTTTGACGCAAGCCTGAGATCCCTCTTGGGCATGTCCTTAAGATCTGTGACCTGAATAATGGAATTAACGCCGCCGGGCTTGAAATTCAGCATCTTGATCCCTTTCTCCAGAACCTGAACCCTCCACCGGAGGAACCGCCGGACCTTTTCCTCGTCACCCAGAACCCTCTCGTACAGACCCCTGTCCTTGAACACACCGTACGCGTTGTAGCACACGGGCCGGCCTGCCCGGTCGAATCCGTGCATGTAGGCCACGGCGGCGGTTTCGACCTCGCTGTCGAGGCCCAAGTCCTCGTCGACGATGGCGTCGGCGCCGAACTCCTTCCTCCAGGCCAAGCACTTGAGGAGCATGTTCAGGGCGTCCCCGACGCGGAAGTCTCGGGCGCGGAGGAATTTGAGAAGGATGACGTCAGCCCGGTCGTCGGAGAGAAGAGGGACGCCCCACATGGAGGTGGTGGCGGCGGTGGATGAGGAGAGCTTGTCCTTGAGGTCTTTCAGGGCCCTGCGCTCGGAGGTTTTGAGGTGGGAGATGAAGTAGGTGTCCTCCTTGAAGGACGGCGCGCGGAGGGTGGCCGCCGCATCCATCAGAGAGCCCACGAAGCTTTTCCGGTAGGGTTTCGGGGAGTGGCCAACGTCGTGTGGGGTTTGTTTGGCCGGCGGCATTGGAGATGATGCGGCGACAGCGGTTTCCATTTTTGAGCAAGGAGTTATGATAATGATAAAAGATCAATGGAGAAATGTATTGATTGTTCTATGTATATATAATAAAAGTGGTGTTATATAAATATGTATGTATATATATCAAGTTTTGAAAGTGTAATAAGTGAGAAAGAAGAAGAAGAAGAAGAAGAGAAGAAAAAGAAAGTGGCTTTAAACTGTACCAAAAAAAAAATAAAAAAGAAAGTCGCTTTAAAGTACAGTAGATTCCTGACTCTGTTCAGCTCTGGAAACTGCATTATATATGCCCTTTTTGTTTCTTTTGGTTTCTCGATCAAATATTATGTATTTAATATAATGTTGGTTTTTTACTTTTTTTTTTTTTTT